TTACTCTTTTATCTTAGAGTTTTGGGTTGTGTTAGACTTGTTGGGTTAGTTGGTTGTGTTTTAAAACCTATAATCTTTGCCCATTTTTGACCTTTCCGCTCGACGGGGGTTCGGCGCTCGAGCGGGAAAAATCACCTTCCCAGTATTTCCTCTGTAGTGTTGGACGCTCGAGCTGAGGTTTTGACGCTCGAGCGGGAGTTTGTGTGAGACCTCGAGCGGGGAGTTGGACGCTCAAGCGGCGGGCCTGTTCTGCAAAACTTCTGGATGGTTGTATCCGCCCCGAGCGGGGTTTTTGGCGCTCGAGCGGGAGTCTGAGTGAGGCTCGAGCGGGGTTTCCACGCTCAGCGGGGTGACCTGTATAACACACCGAGATTCAGCTTTTTGAATCACTTTTTGATTTCCTTTCTCTCTCTTACTTTTCCGAAAAAGCCATTGGAGAGCACCCCACTCTAAAACCTAACTTCTCTCTTAGGATTGATCTAGCTAGAGTGTTTTTCCTCACCTTGCCTTTTGTAAGAAATGTGTTGATCGTCGAGGGCTTCGTTGCGATCCAAAGAATTTGGGATTTGGAGCACTTTGATTTCGGGTCACTTCTCATTGAGTTCTCCATTTGAGGTAGGGATTCTCCTTGTTCTTTTTCAATATTCTGTCTATAGATAGACATGTGGTAATTTTTATTTTGCATGAAAATTGTACCATTTTGGGTTTATTTGAAAATCATGAGGGAACCTAGAGTTGGTTGATTAAAAAATGGATTTATTGTCTTTGAGTGTTTCATTGGACTATTTGTGGCGTGAAATAGCATGTTGTGTTTGAAATATAGAAAAGCCCTAATTTATATGTGTCTTGATGAATCATAAGAGGGAGAAAAACCCTAACTTAATGTTATGATTTAATTGCATAATTAGTTTTGGAAGGTTATGGAAGGAATGGAATTGATTTTGGGAAAATGAGAAAAGTGTTTTTGGAATAAGTGGTGGAACATATTGATTTGGAAAATTATGAAAGTTGGTTCTGAAGTGAAGAATGAAACTTTAACTCTAATGTGAGTCATAGAAAATAAATATGGGAATTGGATTGTTGTATCATGCGTGTCGAGTGTACACATTTGGGGGAATAAAACTGTAACTACCATGCTTGGGTTGTTAATGGGTTTGTGATCTCATGATAATTGAGTCTGTTAATAGATGTACAATATATTTGCATCTAGAGGTTTTGTCCTTGGTCATTGGTGGAGGATGACATGGTTGTGTTGAATTGTCGTGTATGCATTATACCATTGTTAACGGAACATCTTATGTGATGAATTATTGAGATACATTATATATGTATGCTTGCTTGGGAAGAGGTAGTTATGTGTTCATATACTTTAACACATTGTTTGTATCCGGATGGCTTATGTATATGTGTTATACATGTTGGTTGTGCCTTGTTGCATTTGGTTGGTTGGTGTTATACCCTGCGCTAATAATCAAAGGTACCGTTACCTTCCAGCTAGCGCCTGGAGAACTGTCTGCGCTAATAATCGAAGGTACCATACCCCTCCAGCTAGCGCCTGGTAAACTGGCTTGTTGTTGTAAAAGGTGTATTGTTGGCTTACTACGCACATAGCTAGTAGAGCGAAGTTGGTTGTAGTTGTTTCGTTGTAACTGAAAATATCATGGATTTGATTGGTTACAGTTCGGAGGACCGAGTTACTTCCATTGGTTGATTGTAACATGTTGGTGGGTTGTAAATTTATATTTTTACACAGATATGCATGTATAGCTATGATAGTAATGGAACGAACCAAAATGTCATTTTTGTCTTTTTGAAAGTGTGGAGGAGAACAAATGTCTTTAAGATAAACATGTTTGAAAAGGTACATCTGAGTATGTATAGGAAATGGAAGAGAGTATCGAGCTTAGTGTGATTACTTCCTAAGTATTTGTTAATGTTATGAAAGATTGGGAATGTAGGTCAATGAAAGGAAAAAGAAAAGACACACCACTTGTAGCGTTGAATGAAACGGTTGTTTTCGAGAAAAGTTTTTATATATTATATTTTGTATAAACTGTCACATTACTATTCTAGTATGAGAATGATAGTTTCATGATCATAGCTATCTGTAAGTTGTTATGTTTGAGGATCATGTTGAGTTCCCTACTGGACTATATGTTCATCCCACGTTGTTGAAATCTTTTTCAGGTGTTGAGCTGAATGTGCTGCAAGATTTGGATCTATTTATTTACTAGCCACGGAGCCTCAGTTATGTTGGCGGAATGCATTGTTGTAGAAGGGTTACACCCTTCTTCTTGTACCTTAAGTGATGTAAGCCCAAGGGCAATTTATTAAGTATGTTCATGTAATATTTACTTTGCATACGAATGAGAGTATTGTTAATCACTTCTACGGATTGAATGTATGAGTTTATTTCCGCATGTTATTCCTTGAAATTGAATTAAGTTAATGAATTTGGTAATGACTTCGAGTAATAAAAAGTGGGGCGTGACAGATAAAATAAACAATCCACGGAGTCATGGTGGAGTATAAGGAATTTATCTATGAGTTCTTAATTAATTTTAATTTCATATAACCATATTAATTTTAGTTTCATATAACCATGAGGGTGATTACAACTAATCAAAAAAATTAAAATCAATCAATCAACTAAAATCCCTAAACCTTATATACACAACTAAACAAAAATAATTAAAATTAATCAATCATCTAAAAATCCTAAACTTTACCTACACAACTAATCAAATAATTAAAATCAATTAATTATCTAAAAATCCTAAACTTTACATACACCACTAATTAAAATAATTGAAATCAACCTATCATCTTTATGTAAATACAAAATCAAACTAATATCAAATAAATAAAAATAAATAAATAAAAATAAAAAATTAAACATAAATAAAGGGAAGTGAATTATACTCACAATATTTTTTTTAAAATTAAAAAATTATTTAAAAAATTAATAAAATCACCAAAATAAAACCCTAATCTTTTTTTTCTTCCCTCCCCCATTTTCTCGGTATTCCTCTTTTTCTTGGCTTTCTTGGTTTTCTCTTCTTAAACTTGGTTTTCTTTTCTTGATCACTCCCCCCCCCCCCCCCCTCTCTCTCTCTCTTCTCACCACACACACAGCACCTCTCTCTCTCTCTTTTTTTTTTTTTTTTGGATAGATTACCTAATCCTACTCTAACCCGGTAAATTATTATAATATATTATATTATATAATACAACATAATTATAATATATATAAATATAAATATAAGATAAAATATATATATATAACACCTATTTTTCTTATATAACAAATATAAATATATAAATATTTAGATTAATTATATATAATTAAATAACACATTAAATTAATTAAATACTATATTAAATTTTCATATAATCACGTAATTAATAAAGTCAAAAATAAAATAAAGTAATAATAATAAATAAGACTTACGAAAAATTAAGATCGCTACAGCTTTTGTGTACAGTTCCACTACTAAATCTATAATGTATAATATCACCACCATCCTTACATAACATAAAAACATTTTACAATATCAAAATGACACCATCAGAATGAGGTGACAGTACACAACATGCAAACAACCCTCCATAACTCCATACTAATAACATGTGAACATTCACATTGTTTCAGACACTCTGAATTATCTCGCACACACAGAGCCTCATTAAGCAAACATAAAAAACTCATCAAATAAACACTTGCATTACCACATATATCAAAACATAACATAAAACGAAGATACAAAATATATGTGTATATGTACATTTTACACTGCTAAAACCAAACTCAAAATATCACCACCATCATTACAAGTAAGATGTGAACATCCATATTCTTCACCTAATCTGAATTACCTCCCCACTATAGGGCCATGTAAAATGCATATAATTCAACACACAGAGCATCTGATCCATATCAATCAAAAAATAGAGCATCTAATCCATCACCCAAATCAAAACATAAACTAAACATGCATTCATAACCAAAATGATACTAACCTTAATCATGCAATCCTGCACTCGTCCTCTACTTTGAAAACGACTGATTTCAACTAGTTATACTCGGAACAATGTCACAACCGAACACCGTTCAGCCGTTGTCTTCATTCCTAAATCACTGAACCTACCACAACAAGAACAATGAAACCATAGCACATCGAAGCCTTCAGGCGAGCTAGCAAAATTGAAATGTATCCATCTGAATTAGAATCATGATCAAAAGCGTGAATACAGAAACTACCAAAATAGAATGAACCGAAAAAAGAAGAAGAAACGTACATATGTATCAATACTATATATAAGGGCATAATAGTCTATTAAAAAATATATAATTTGTAAAAATGATCTCATGGAATAAAAAGATAAGTGCATGGGACTAATCAAGCTATAAAAGTCTTTGTGGACATAATGGGTTACAACAAGTTTAAAATGAATTTATCAATAAAAATTTCTATTTTGATTCGTTTTCAATATAAATTATTTGTCTATTTTTGTTAGGTAAAATTAACAGAAAAATTGTATTTTAGTCATTATATTCAACATTGGGGTACAAAAAATATCTAAAATATCATATTTTATTGAGTTTAATGACTAAAATATAATTTTTTGTTAACTTTAACTAGCAAAAATAGATAAATAGTTTAGATTAAAAGAAAATAAAAAAATTCAAATTTAAATTAAGAAAATTAAAATTTTATTCTCAAACCCTAAAGTTTTTTTTTGTAATTTTCTCAAATTTTTGTTTTCAATTATTTTATTTTTTATTTACTTTTTAAAATCTGTCTAATTTAATAAAGTTTTTTGGTAATTTGCTCAAAAAAATGTTTTTCCAATTATTTTATTTTTTATTTACTTTTCAAGCCTGCCTAATTTAATAAGATTTACAAATAAAATTTTAATTTTTAATTAAAAACAAAAAGAAAAAAGAAAAAAAAGGCAACTAGTCGTTATTCACAAACTATTTTGCGTCTTCATAAATGGATAAGCATACATTTGTATTATCCATAAAAGTTGAAGAGAGAGAGAGAGAGTTGGGTCTCTCCATCAATGGCACTTCTCAACGTCTCGTTCTCTTCCAAACTCACTCCAAAACCACCTCTCTCTCTTCCCAAGCCTCATCTCTCACACCCACATTTCTCTCCTCTCTCCCTCCAAACCCCTCCTCAAAACCTCCTCTTCTCTCTCCGCGAATCGGTGGCAAAGGCGGGCTTTCTCGCCCTTCTCTCTTCCTCGCTCTTCTTCGTCGATCCTGCACTTGCATTCAAGGTCATCGAACAAACCCTCTCTTTCAATTTGTCTCTTTCTATTCCAATTTTTTTAATTTTGTGGAGGTTTGAAATTTGATGGTTTTTGATAAATGTGGAAAGGGTGGAGGTCCATATGGTTCTGAAGTGACGAGGGGTCAGGATCTCAGTGGAAAAGATTTTAGCGGGAAAAGTTTGATCAAGCAAGACTTCAAAACGGTAAATACATTTATCCAAATCCTCTGTCTCTGTGTGTGTGCGCATATAGTTCACTGAATTACATGGGTTACCCACTATTCTCTGTCTGTTTCTGGGTTTGTGTATAAAAGTGTTGGGGGAAATTGCAAATAGATGGACAGTCATAAAATAATTGTACTACAAATGAGAATGTTTTGGGACACTTACCAATCAGTAATATTAATTAGACTTGTTTACGTATGTGATGATTGATAAATTTATCAGTTAAATTTATTTATAAAAACATGAGAGAATGATAAATTTATCAATACTATTTAATGGGTAACAAGTTTCAATAGTAGAAACTATTGATAATTTACCCAATGTTTTTTTCATGCAACTCCGACACACAGTTAGAGTTGCACAAAGTATAAGAATGAATTTGTACTACACGCATAGGAGAGTTGCATCGTCATGAAAATGAAATTTTTTTTTTATCACTACTCCACTGAAATGCAATTTTCCCTAAAGTGTATGCTAATTTGTTTCAGTTATTATTGAGTGTTTGCTAATTTATGTGTAAAGTGTTTGCTAATTTGTTTCAGTCAATATTGAGACAAGCCAATTTCAAAGGTGCAAAGTTACTAGGAGCTAGCTTCTTCGATTCTGATTTAACAGGTTTTTGTTTGTTTGTTTGTTTTATAAATTTCAGATTGGCATTTCATTGAGTAGGCTTATTTTATATTGGAATGGAGTCCGGAAGCTGGATTTTTTGAGATGGGTCAATATTTCATTTGAGTTTTAGTTCTTGAAATTTGCGATTGAGTTTAGCACAACCCTATTCCGTAAATATATGCCTCTCATTTGGCAAGTCTCTTGATGAAGATTCATTATGCCTCATTCTAATGATTTTATTTTCTTTACCATATTACTGGGGGGGAAAAAAATCCCTGTCATATCATCTATTATGCTTTCTCCCACTTGGAAGCTCGTTATTCATTCTCACTATCGTGATTTGTGTATGTTTTGTTGCTTGTCCTCTTTCTGATTAATGCAACTTTACTTGAATGGTTAACATAAATTAAGCATCAATGTTTTGGATGGAGTCATAAATTTGATCAAGGTGCAGTAAATCAGGGAAAATAGAAAGGGGGGGGCCATTCGGGGTATCAGGGATGTTAATTGCAATAGGAAATGAAATTTTTGTTAAATAATGATAAAATAAGCTTAGCATTGTGTGCAAGTCTGCTTTCCTAGAATGTGAGGTGAACTTTCATGTGTTCCCATCGAGGGGAAAAAAAAGAGAGGATGTATTTTGAGTCTTTGACTCTTGTTATTTAAAGAAGATGTTATTGACACATATTCTTAAGAGCATGCCAGTTTCATATGTACTTCAAAGATGCCAACTTGGCTTGTGTTCATTATAATATTCAATCAAGTTATAAGTAGATCTTTTGTTCTTTGATGCAAAATTATTCAACTAGAGAAACTTGTATATTTTACAAAGCCATAGAAATGGAATATTGGGGAGCAGCTCAATTAATCATGTGAATGGATGTGGGGTTTCCATTAATTATTTGGGTTTTCAAAAATTTAAGTGTTACTAATAAATATGGTCTCTTTTCTTTTCGTTTTTTGGGTGGTTGTATGTGCAAATTTGCCTATCTACGGTTCAGTAGCTGAGAAGAGAATGATGGGTTGGTGACTGGCACATCTCCATCTATTATCACTTGGTTCTCATATGCAGACATGGAACCAATTGTTTGCTGAGTGTGCAACAGAAGAGCTCTTCTTGGAGCAACAGAAGAGCTCTTCTTGGATCAACAGGAGGGCAACTAGATTGGTCATTTTTTGTCATATTTTGTCCATTTCCTTGGCCTATTTCCTGCCTGGCCACAGAATGGCCATCAGCTAGGTTGTCTTGCACTCCTTCAAGCCCACCTTCCAGCTCTGCTGCCACATGTCCCATCATGGAGCAAATTTCCTCCACTATGATCTCCATAACCGCTGGTAATTGCTTCTTTGCTGTAGCATTTTTTTCTCTTACACATTTATTTGCACACAAACCACATGTCCTGTCTTACTTGCATGCCTAACTCCATGACTTGACACCTAGGCCACGTTTGGCCGCATCTCACTGCAATATCAGAGGAATTGACAAAAGAAACTGCATTTGTCACATCTGCTCCTTAAATGGCTTCAATTGCCACTTGCTCTGCATTCTGGGGTCTAGCCCCCACTGTAAACTTATGGTTTTCACTCCTAGCATCCCTTGGATCAACCTTCTGTATTTGTTATATTTATTATACAGAGAAGATAAATTTTAGTGCCAACAATGGTTTGGGTCAAATCGATAGACGTGATTCGACAGAGAAATCACAATTTCACAAACAACTACAGACCAAGTGACTGTGGTTGGTGTTCTATGTCTTGACAGATTCAAGGACTTCTTTGGAGGTTGTAATGCGAAGAAACAAGTGTGAATAAATTGAAAATCGATTGAAGAACAAGTAAACTTACCACTTAATTACAAGAATTAAATTACAAGTTCAATGTGCATGACAATCGACGAAGGAAAATTTGGCCATAGAGGTCGAATTATAAACAGACTATTCCTAAGTACAGAAGCTATTGCTAACTAAGTTAAATTACTCCTAATTCCACATGGGTTGTGAATTTGATTGAAGATTTTCTTTCCTTCGAATTTCCGACCTTTATGCTGTTGGCTTTGTTACTTCTCTGCTGCCACGTGTCCCATCATGGAGCAAATTTCCTCCACTTCCTGCATAACTGCCCATGATCTCCATAACAGCTGGTAATTGCTTCTTTGCTGTAGCATTTTTTTCTCTTACACATTTCTTTGCACACAAACCACGTGTCCTGTCACGACCCCAAACCGCCCCTAGTAGTTTGGTGCCGTGATGGCCAGTAATCCGAGATTACCGAAGGCCAACTTTCAGAATTCACATACAATCAGAGTATAAATATATGGGGCTCACAAGTGCGGAAGCAATAATTTAAAATACAAGTGGTCCATAAGAGCAGTGCATAAGTCAAATGGTATGGCATACATCTTTACATAGCTTTACAACTTGAATACAAATAGAAATGAAGTACGAAAATACATAGTACATCTTGGTAAAAGGCTTCTCAAGCCGACATGTTCAAAATACATAAGCTTCAAAATTGCCGACGTAAACAAAATACATGAAATACAAGTCAAGATACATAACATTCAGGATTGCCGACATAACATGCATCCAAAACACCTTGCAAAACACACATCTCGGCGTAGCCGACTTCTTGCTTGTTACCTACATATATACATAGGGAGGGTGAGCTTGGATACTCAGTGAATGGTATAAGTAATAAAGGGGTTAAATAAATGATTCCCGAGGTCTTTCAAAACAATACATAGTATATTCTTGTCAAAACCATACATATCAAAGTTTGTACAAAACATGCGATAAATCTTGTTCATCAAACTTGATCTTACAAAACTTACATACTTAACATGCGTCAAATCTTATAACATAACCTCGGCATAACCTTGGTCCTTCAAAACTAAAGCATAACCTCGGCATAACCTTAGTCCTTCAAAACTTACTTACTTACTTACTTACTAGATCCACGCGGTAAACCGCTAGTGGCAAAACAAGACCAAGTAAGAAGGCCCGTAGTAAGAAGGCCCGTAGCCCTTTAACACTTGGGTGCTGCGCAAGTTTAGAGTCCTCCAGCACAAGGGACCTATGTTACAAGAGCCCGTAGGATATCTCAAATAAGGGTGCTGCGAAAGTTTAGAGTCCTCCAGCACGAGGGACCTATGTTACAAAGGCCTGTAGCCCTTTAACACTTGGGTGTTGTGCAAGTTTAGAGTCCTCCAGCACAAGGGACTTTCCGAAAACGTCGTCAAAACAAAGCTTACTTGATACATTGCCATTCAAAACAAAGCTTATACTTGATACATAAAATAGGGATATCATTCATGCTTAACAAATACTTTTATCAAAACAAGGCAAAGATTTATCAAAATCTTAAAAACATAACTTTATTAAAAATACCACTCACTTAGTTCTTGGGACGTCGGTATCAAGGCAAAGGTCTAGGTCCTACAAACACATGGCAAAGCATACTAAACATACTTCTCAAAACAGGTCTCACATGCATGCAATTGATCTCGGGAAAACATACCGGAAGTCAAAACACTGTTTTACATGTCAGGAAGACATGCTGGGTACCAACCAGGTCTTTGCTGAGGTCCCACACCTCCTGGCCGAGGTGTGGCTACCTAGGCTTCGGCATGCGGCTGCATGCCGAGGTGCGCACAAGACAAACTAAAGGTGTAAGTGATCATGCAAGGTAGGACAAGGTGAGATGCGATTCTTGGCCTAAGTGTGAGGTCTAGGTAAGAGTGATCTCCGGCAACTACACCTCGGGAAGTGAGGTCTGGAGATCTGGGTTTCCACCCATGAAGAACAGAGAAGAACATGAACATGAAGATCATGAAGAACATGAATGCTAAATCATAACTTCTTTATTTACAAAATTTGGGATTTCATGCTATGAGTTTGAAAACATGGACCTGGTACCCATACTTGAAAATCATGTGAAAACAAACACAAAAACATGGATCTAGGTATGAGGTTTCGGATCAAAACATGACTTTTCTTTGAAGAACACATAATGCCATTTCTCTTTCTAAAACCGAACTTCAAAGCAATGCATGGCTTACAAATCATATTCAATCATGCAATGCAATAACATAAACATAAAGAACAACATGAGCAGATCAAGAATCTAACCTTAGAACACGGATCTAACGGTTCGATCTCTAGGGATCAAGCTTGGAAATCTATCCTTCCTTAAGAACTCTTTTTTCTCTCTTAGAGCTTCTCTCTCCTCTTCAAAACAAAGATACAACAAATGATAGGTTTCTCTCTGCCGGCTGACTTAACACTCAGCTCGGACACGTGGCAACGGCTGGTTGGTTCTCTTCAAAAAGGGGATAGGTTGACAAGACAAGACTATGACAAAGCGTATCTAACAAGCTACTCGGTAAGGCACTCCGGCAAGTGATGACATCGGCTAAGGACAAAGTTTCGGCAACTAAGGTGACAATGACCTCGGCTAGGAAGGACAACTCTTGACTAAGCTGTGCCACACTTTGACCTAGATGTGCCACACCTCGGTCTAGGTCATACCACTCCAGGACAAGATCACTTGGGTGCAAAGGTAACATCTTGGCTTAGATAATACACATCTCGGCCTTGGTGATGAACACCTCGGCCTAGATAATGACATCTTGGCCAATATGTCAAGGCGAAGGTGGAGGTCAAACAATGGGGTTCCAAGATACTTCTAGACTGGAGATGACCTCGGCTTGGAATGATCTAGGCGTAACGTAACCTAGGCTTGGCATGACTTTGACTTAACGTAACTTAGGCTCAACATAGTAGGGAAGGGGCAAAGCATGGAAGCAACACTTAGGCATAACACATAAACACAAAACAAGACAAGATTCATGAATGCAAACTTATCGAGACAAAGTTATGTAAATGAACATGAATATGACCATGACATGAATATGGGTCGCTACAGCATCTTAACATGGCAAAACATACGAATGTATGCAAACATGACTAGGACATAAAATGTGGGTTGTTACATGTCCTGTCTCA